ATGTTTCCTTTCAAAGTCTTTTGCGTGTCCTTTCGCACAGACAGTGTGTCTTTTGTGGTGATTACATTGCACACATTGAAAGGGGGCAGAGTGCTGAAGCTGCTTCGAGCGTTCATGTTGAGAGTCAACTCATTCATGCAGTGAGAGAGTCTTCGCAATCGTTTTCTTGGATTCGAGAGTCTGCGTTGTCGTTTGCGCGTTTTGGCATGGACTTCTTGCTTGTTTCATCTTCGCCGCAGCCTTGTCGGGTCACGAGGTGGCTCAGACGAGTGGTCAGAGTGATCCGCGCGCTTTTCACTTCCCGAGCGACATGTCGGAAGCGTCTGGTGTGACCCGGATGGATTATGCGACTGGTGCTCGACAGCGTGATCCCAGCGACCCAGTTGTTGAAGGACAAGTCCTGGAGGAGCAGCGATTGTCAGAGGTGCTGCAACTGAGGTCCCAGCAACAGAGAATCCGAAAGAGCCAGCAGTGGCTGAGAGCCCAAGTTCTATGCCTGAGAGCGTAGGAGCTGATGTTGGCCAGAATCCAACTACCGGCGGTGTGCCGGAGACAGGCGACAAAGAGAAAGCAGTGGATGATAGCGAGCGCGTCCCTGTTCATCTGACCCCAAGAGTTGGAGGCATCGACGTCGAAGTTGCAGACTCACCTGATCGAGAAGTCACAGCCGAGAAGAATGAGGCTGAGGCATCTGGCTTGCCTGCGAAGAAGCTCAGGCCAAGCGAAGACGCCAGAGAGGTCAGGAGTGGAAGATCAAGCAGGCTGAAGAATTCAAGCAGGCTATCGCGGCCAAGGAGGCCATCAAGTCCCAGCAATCTGAAAAGGGCAAAAGGTCAAGAAGACCGTCAAGAAGAAGAAGGTGGAGAAGAAGGCCCCAGAGAAGGATACGACGTCATCAAAGTCCAAGGCAAAGTTCAAGAGAGTCTTGGAGAAGCGCAAGAGGATCCTGAGAGGGTCGATTGCCAAGCTCTTTGAAGCTCAAGACAGGTGCTGCTGGATCTTCGTCCGGAGTCTTTGGCAAGTTCTTCGCGAAGACTGCGATGCGGCTTTCTCAGATGTATCGCGCGTCAGTCGAGGCCAGAGATGCAGGAAGTCGTCTTTCAGAGGTCACTGCAAGGATCAAGGCCATGCCGGAGATTCCATCCAAGCCGGTGAGTCCGGCAGAGCCCAAGTCGGCGCCCAAGACATCGCCGCCACCAAAGACTCCACCAGTTCAGCCTCCAAACGCGAAGGCTATGCTGCCTCCGTCCGGTCCGTCGAGACGGGTGCTCCAGGCTACCTTAATCCTCTGATCAGCTGAAGAGAAGCAGCAGCCTTGAAATCTGGCGATGAGAAAGATGAGCTCGCCTCGATGCGCTCGAAGGGGGAGCGGGTGGTATCGCTCAGCGAGAACAAGATCGCTCTCCATCAAGGCAGGATGTGGAACCAGCACGCCGTGCAGGCGACTATGTGGCCAAGTATGGCATGGCATGGATGATGATCTTTCAGCACAGATCAAGCCAGACGACAGTGTGTCGCAGGATGATGAAGAGAATGAAGAAGACGTGAAGGTCGACTTGTTGAGGAAGCGCCCAGCAAATCCCTTCAAGAAGAAGAAGCGGACTGAGGCTCCGAAGAAGCCTGAAGTGCCAAAGAAGCATCAGGTACCGGGCCGAAGGCGCCGCCAAAAAGTCCATCGTTTTCGATGATTTCTGTGGCGGCCCCAAAGGCCAAGGACGGTTCAGCAGTGGCGGCCCCAAAGGCCAGTGAGAGTTCAGCAGGAGTGGATCCAAAGGCCAGCGCAGGCCCAGCTATCCCGATCCAAGTGATCGCACCTCTTTCAACAGTGGCCAATCCGCCAGCCAGCCCACAGCCGAGTGCACCGTCTTCGACTCAGTGCTGCGTTGCGTGCCACGGATCGGGGAGTGTCAGTGCAGACCTCAATATGCTGCTGTTCAACTTCCTTGCGAACAACATGCCGAGGATTTCGGATCTTAGAAATCCTCAGGTGAGACCGTTGGAGGACCACGAGAGTTTTTCCCTTTGTCGTGAGACGACGTCAGGACGTCCTTTGTTCATTGTTTTGGAAGTTGCTTTTGGCCGAGGGTCCGTAATTTGTAGAGCTTGTCAGGAGTGTTACCATGTTGGATACATTGGAATCCATGCTTGTTTGGAAGAGTCTCAAGTTCGTTTTGAGGTGCTCCGAACAATCCGTGAAGCACTAGCTGAGAGCTCGTCTGGATCCAAGTTGAATCGAAAGCGTTGCATCTTAACTCACATCTCGTTACCTTACAAAGGAGGTTCACCGTTGTTGAACTTTTCTGGAAGGAACGCAAGTCATGAGAAAGAATTTTTCCATCTGTTGAAAGCGACTGAAAAGTATCTTGATGAGATCAATAGTCTTGAAACAACTACCAACACAATCTCCTTCGAGTTGCCGAAATTTAACCAGTACTGGAAGAGCCGAGAGCTCGAGAGTTTCTTGCAGAAGTATGAGATGACACATCAGAGTTATTCGGCAATCGCCTTGCCTTCTTCGCCGATCGGCCGACTCTTGGCCTTCACTGCCGTCTTGGTTTTTGGCTCGACTTTCACAGTCGCTTTGGGATTGCTTCGGCTTTCCCAGCGCTTTGCCTTTGCCTCGAATCCAGATGGCCAGATGCTCTTGCGGTCCCGCTCTCTTCGCCTGTTGTTCCTTTAGTCGCCGCTTGGACGCCGGCAAGGCGGTACCTTGGACGGTGGCAGGCCAGACAACCTTGCCAAGTTCGCATGAGGGCGAGGAAAAGAGCAGAAGGGGGAGAAGTCTCTATGACTCTATTCCAAGTGTCGCCCGCGGCCCGGTGGGCGGCGCCAGAGGCAGAAGACCAGCGCAAGAATACCTCGCTGATGGGGACGGTCCTTTTGCAACAGCTTCAGTTTATTTGCGGATGACAAAAAGCGTCTTCCATACAATTTGACAAAATCCCTAAACCGGTCACTTCTCGATTTTCAACTCATTCTCAAGTTTTCATCTTTCAACTTGGACTCTTTCGACAGTGCTTCCATCGGACTGTTTGAGCTGGCAGCACGACCTCCACACCCTCACACGGCTCTGTGGCCTCAGTGCATTCACCGCATCGCCTCGACAGCCTCCATCACATTGGCAAGGCTGCGCGAGGAGACCTCCACGGCCTCCACGCGCTCCACACCCAACCTTCTCTACTTCCATCGCAGGGCTGCAAATTCAGGCCTCTGCAGCACACGCCCGGCCTCCAACATCATGGAGGAATCTCTCTTGAATCGTCCCTTGTAGGCCTTTCTGTCACAGTTTTTGCTGGCCTCTTTGGTTTTAAGAGTTGAGGTTTGGGAGCTTTTGGGACTCCACCAGCTTCAACATTTTTCAACTTGTAGTGCCTCTTTCAAGACCAGCAGTGGCAGTTTTGCCATTCCTCTTGCCAACATTGGCGCACTATCTTGGACACTCTCTACATAATAGTGTCATCTTTGGTGCTTGTGGCAAGGACATTACCAGAAGGGAGCACACTCACAAGTTTGTTGGAAAAACACCTTTTCCGTCACGCCTTTTCTGACCTTGTCTTGCAGTGATGTCATTGGCAAATTCTGTCGGAAATTCTTGTCTCTCTTGGGCGATTTTTTTCTCCTCTGCATTGTCGGAGAACTGCGAGAACTGCTTGATGAGAATCTCTTCCCGATCTTCTGTAGAAGAGCCACCGTCGGTGGAAATGCTCGCTCCGGGGGTGTTTTCATTGTACGTATACGGCCATGCCACGCACTTGTGGCCCAAGGAAAAAGGTGCACTGTATGTTTCAGGCTGTCTGTTTGAACGAAAAAGGGCTCATGATGGTTGCCCCTTTTGCGTTTTAATGCATGGCTCGCCACTGGGGCTATCAACCGCGGGGGCACTACAACCGCTGTTCTTCCTGGTGCTCACTGTTTTTTTCGCGAGCGTGCGTGAGCCAAGCGTTGTTCTTAAAGAGACAGGAGCAAAAGATGATCTTCATCGTGATCATCGTCATCATCACCATCATGATCATCATCTGCGTATTTTCACATCTGCATATCTCTCTCATCTTCACGTCTTCATATTTCTCTTTTTGTATCTCTTTGTATTTGTCTCTCTCTCTCTCTCTTTCTCTTTCTGTTTCTCTTTCTCTTTCTGTTTATCTTTCTTTTTCTCTTTCTCTTTCCCTTTCGATTTCTTTTTCTCTTTCTTTTCCTATCTTTCTTTCTTTTTCTCTTTCTCTTTGTCTTTCTCTTTCTCTTTCCTTTTCTCTTTCTGTTTCCTTTTCTCTTTCCTTTTCTCTTTCTCTTTCCTTTTCTCTTTCTCTCTTTCTCTCTCTCTCTCTCTGTATTTTATTTTTTTTCTCTCTCTCTCTCTCTCCTCTTCTCTGTGTTTTCCCTTCTCTTTTGGTCAGTGTTTTTTTCCTCTCTTTGGGCCGGGGCCAGTGGTCACAAAAATATCGAAACGCAGTCCTTTGCGGAGACCGTGCATGTCACGTGTCAAAACTGCGGGAATATTGGGATTTGAAAGGTGCAACCCTCTGCGGAAATCGTGCGTGTCACATGTGCAAAAACTGTGTGGAATATTGCAATTTGAAAGCGTCCACGGTGCAATGCGGAGATCATGTCAAGTGCCATCCCAAGGAAACGTCTACAACACCATGCAATTCCCCCACCTGACGAAGTGAACCATGGAAACCATGCGGCCGTCCCATTCCAAAAACATCTGATGAGGGTTCTCCGAACACACCCGTGGCGTGTTGCACGTCGTCGAAAGAGGCTGCGCTGCCATTTGATGGGCGAGACTGATTTGAGACTCCAGAAAGAGGGAGTTCGGGTTGCTGTTCGAGTCGTTCGAGGTCGCGTTGGCATGCGTTGGCTCTTTGTTTTTTGAAAGCTGGCTCAAACGCTGGGAAGGAGTGCTTTCCCAAGTCACAAAGCCTGCATTTTAGGTCAGAAAGATTTGATTCAGGACTGCAAAAACATACATTTCCTTTCAAAAAACTCAAAGACTCTAGAAGAACATGTGTAAGCCTTTGGATGCTGTCAGTGCCTAGGAGAGAACATCGGCGCTTTCGGGTGTGGGATGGGTCAAGCTCCGTTCTTGGAATGAAGAAAAAGGGTGCAGTGTTCACCTCCAACCCCCAGAAATCGGATTGGCGACATGTCCTCATTCCGTTGGTTTGGTTGGATTTTTGTGGGCCCTTCTTCCTTGGAATTGTATCCTTCAGGTAGAACGTGGAACAACATGCGGCCACTTTCAGATATCTCTGTTTGAGATGGTACCATCATCCATTTGAGGAGCATCATATTCTCACTGCCCCGAAACCGCAACAGAAACTAGCACTCCTCTCAATTGCACATGATTGCACATGTGCAAATCTCTCGCTTCGCCCGCGCGTCAAGACCATTTTTCTCGGTTTGAGGGCCCCCGCTCTGACTGAATTTCTCTACTCTGACAGACTAAGAGTCATGAGAAGATGGCTTTCTAGACCTGCGGCCTCGTCTTGGTGCCCAGGTGCACCCAAAGATTCAGCCAGCAGCCAAAGATGTGGTTTGCCAGCTCGATGCAAAGCACTTTTAGCTGCTTTCACCGTGTTGGCCCTGAGCTCCTTGGCCATTTTCGAGATCCGCGTGAATGTGCTCTTGATCCTCTACATGCCACTGGTGAGTGACATGGCATCAGAGGAGACCTCTGAGACCGACCTGGTCTGTTTGGTTTAGGTTGAAGGCTATGAGAAGTATATAGGTTTTGTGGGTGAAATGGCGGAGATGTCATTGTTTTTCAGAAGTGCTAGGTAGACGAACTTGCATTTGGCCAGGAACGTGTTCTGCCAGGCAGAAGCCGTACGTACCCTAGCTGCTAGATTCTACCTGTACCCTCCAAGAGGTCTCTGCCTTTGCAGGTCCCAAGAACCCCTCTTCTCAAGTTCGAAAGATCTTGTTCTTCCCCAAGCCAATAGCTTTCCAGTTCCACACCGAGATGACCCCCAAGCGAGGCCTCCACTTGTGCGGCGCCAAGAAGATATGCCCAACACCCTTCCGAGACGCAGCATTAGGTGGTCAATTCTTTGAGTTCGAATGGCTTCTTCCTTGGCTGGACTCCTACTTAGACTTGGAGATTTGGTGGAACCCTGAGAATTTCCAGGCGCATGGGAGAGCGGTGGTCTTTGTGCGAGAGCGGATGGCGGACTGGGGCCGCCTCCGGCGGCCCCCTCCCGACAGATGTCTTTGGACGCCACTGGTGGCGTCTTCTTTGGTTGATTCGCTTTTCATGGTTCAACAGCAGGAGTCTGCACCCTCAAAACCCTTTGATTGAAGGCTCGGATTCTACCAGGAACAAAAAACGAAGCATGTGACTCTGAAGAGGATCCGGATGCCTCTCTTTGTGTGTTCCTAGGAAGCATCATCCTTTTAGAGGGGACAGCAGCCCAAGACAGTTAAGCTTTGTTCGCTTTGTTTGGCTTTTGTCTCCCATGTTGTGGCCGGCTTTTTTTGTTGGGTGGCCCATGAACACCCAGCAAAGCCGGCAGATGGCCATAGGTGGCATAGGGGCTCACACCCAGCGTTCCTTTTACCCCGTTGTTCGTCCGAGGCCTACGACCTGCAGGAGATAGCCGCCGAAGACTTCACGTGGGAACATTACATGAAGGTGTCCCAGAATCGTCGCCTTGTGAGCCTTAGCTGAGAAGGGTCACAGCGCTGTCCAAGGCTTTGTGGAGATTGGCGAACGGGCTTTGACATCCAGTCAAGCAGACTTTGGGAGGTTAGGCGAATGGTATTGGGGTCAGCGTCTAGTTGTGTCTAGCTCTAAAGGTTTAGTTTCTGGAACCACTGGTGACCTACTCTAGTGACGACTGATCAAGTGATTTGCCCGAAGATGACTAGGACTTGGTATACGCTACGGTTCTGGTACAGCTGTACCATGAACACTGAACAACCCTACTTTGGCTGGGAAGAACAATAAAGACAACACATACGAAGACCTCCGAAATCAAACAAGGTAAACAAACCGCTGTTAGTTGTGCCTTAGTGACTACTGCATGTGCTTGTATTATATATATATAACTTTATCATAGTTTTTCCTTATCATCATCCTTGATCATGTGTTATGTAATAGTCTCAGGGCCACAAGAAGTGAACTCGGGTAGTTTCGATGCCTTCCGTCACCTTGTTGTGTTTTAATGGTCCACACCCTAGCTCATCCCCTTAACTGCAGGGGTGGAGTAGTGGCCCCACCTGTACACCAGTCCGTGTTGCACCCAGGGATTGCGTCATAGCCAATAGAGTATAGCTGCCCTCTGCCTTCCGTCACCTTCCCTTAGTGGGGAATGATTGGCCAACGCACCCTGGTCTGTTGGCACCTTGTTTGAGACGATAACTGTGAAGTAAGGGTCGGTAAAATATGATAAAATATGTCAATGTCTCTTCCTACCGTGCTTGAACTCTGCCCAACTTGCGGCTTAGCTTGAGCCTACTAACACAGTCAAATGAATGAGATCGAGCAGAACATTCGTCAAAAAACCTCCGTGTCTCGTCCAGGACTGTGGTGCGCGGATTGATGAGCAACACCAGCGCCGCCCCGGCGTGGCTTCGGTTGGTTGGAATAGGGTGATTGGACCAAGCTCAAGTACCCAAGTTTGCTGAACGGCTTGTGGGACGACTTGGCAAGTTCCGTGACCGGTCAACTTGGCATGCCCGGCCTGCCGCATGTGCGCGGCCGCATGTGCGGCCGGTCGCCACCTCGACTCCTTCGTGGCGACCGAGGAGTTTTGCTCCCGAGAGTGGATCGAAGCACATGCAGATTTTCAGCTCAACGAGATCATTGCGCCTCGGGATCCCTCGCGATCCGGTGCGGGGACGTTTGCGGTGCCTTTAGGAGTGGTCGATTTTAGCCAAAAGAGACGGCTTGCTTGGTTCATTGGCTTAGTTTGTTGTAAAAGACTGGGGAGGGTGTGAACCTGTGAGCAAAAGTTCTGCCTTCTATACTTGTATGTTGTTTGTTTCTTTTGGCTTGCGCCACGACCAGCGGTCATTTCTGGCGCTTGGCCATTTCAGTGTGGCAGATCCGCTTCAGCACTGGCCATGGGGACCCTCGGGTGCTCGCCTGGTGTAGGTCCAGGCGTCCCAGCTGGACAGTCCGACTGGTGATCCGACTAGAAGGCATCGGTCCGGCTGTGTCCAATGAGATCTTTTCAATACTGCCCCTACTAGTCTGCCTACTATATCTACTGAGTCCCAGTGACCCCCTTTGTTGGAGTCCAAACACGTTGTTGGAGCTATGCTCCAAGGAGTCCAAAACAGAGGTCCTATGGGTTCACGGACCCCACCGCCAGACCAAGCCCACGTGGTGACCGGCCTTGGCCCCGGGCCTGCAGGCTCCGAACAGGTCCGTTGTTCCGACCACGGCTTTGCTGCGGTGATGTTCCGGTTTCCCCCCCAAACAAAACCGAAAAAAGAAGGCAGCCTGTTTTTTGCCGAACATGTTCGTGGGCCACTCGTCCGCACCTGATTGGGCGGCTTGATGAAAAAGCCGCCGGTCTTGATTGGGTTGGACTTTCGAGGCCAAAGAGGAGTACAAGTACTGGTATGACTTCCGAGCTATCAACTTCTCGACATATGTCAACTCCATTCAGAAAGGACCAATGTCCAAATCAGTTTTAGAGCAATGAGAGTCTCTCGGAAGTTGCTGTTTCTGTGCAAATTCAGGGTGCAAGTCAGAGGCGAGTCATTTTGTTTGGCGCGTGTAAAGTTGCAACACAGTGATTCTCTTCCTTTTCCGATACAGGACTCGGAAGAAGATTCACCACCTTGACACGTGCACCTTCCATGACATGTAGTCAACACTTGCCATGGCTGAGTCTTGAACCTGGGCCCCAACCTCAACCCCCCCCAAAACGTGGCAGCTTGGGAGCATGGGCCCCAACCTCAAGGCGGGCAGAAGCGTCCGGCGGCCTCCCAAGCCGGTCCTGGTCCTGGTCCGGAGTCCGGTTGGATGGATCAAGGTCCGAAAGTGTGGGGATGCTTTCATGTCCAAACATGCCGCCGCTCTGAATGGAATCCACATCTCCCACCTTAGTGAAGGAGCCTCAAAACATGGAGAGGACCTCATCGACTCCGTGCCGTAACGCAACTGAGTCGTCGCCCCCCCCGCCCCGCTTGAGTCGTCTACCCGGCTCCCCTCGTTTGTCGCGTCCGTCACGTCCGATGCGAGCTGCGATTCCGAGCTGCGAGCCGGAGGAGAGTATCGCTATGCTGCGGGCCTGGATGAATTGATCACCCGTTACCCGGAGATTCCGAGCGCCATGGGCTTGGAAAAGCTGGGTGGGGCACCCTCCTGCCGGACACTGGCGATGTTCATCAATGGCCACCTGGAGATGCGGGGTCAAGGGGGAAAAAGAAGAGGATCATTTTGGAACGGGATGACAAATCCCCGCGACTTACTCGACTCATTCGATTCCGAACTTTGAACACCTACCTGGCAGAGGTTTTGCTGCATTTCCTTGGATCGGGGTGCTCCCAAAAAGCCGAGTCGGTTGAGTGATGAGTGGGTGTTTGGCGGCTCGTTTTGAGTGAAAAAGGATGAAAAAGACACACTCCATAGTCTAGCAGGGGTGGTTCTTCTGTTTTTTTTGAGAATGGAATTAGGGAGTTTAGGAATATGGGAATGTTGCATTCTATGCAGACGATGGTTTTTTGTTGCTCACATTCTGAAACAACCTCCGCTGAAAAACTGGGTTCCCGGCAAAGATCGTCTGTGAGGTAAGGGCGAAGGCCTTCAGTGGCACAATGCCAATCACTTCAACATCGTGATGGAATACCACGGTACCCTGACTTGGTTGCACCGGAGGGAGGATTATACTCCGGTGTGGTTTGGTGGAGGAGCTCCTTCTCTAGCTCCGTCGGCAAGCGACTGAGGGTTCCCGTTTCGGGACGGGCTGAGGGTTCACCGGGGTGGAACGCCTGAAAACACCGGTGAACAGGGTCCGCTGGGTCTCTTTGTCGCACCTTTTTTCGACGAATTCCATCAACACGCGGCGCCCATTTTGGACACCATCGAAATGGGCGAAGTTGATGTTCGCATCGGGATGCTTGTCAACTTTGCGCCGAGTGAAGCTCAAGCACCACAACGGATGGGCAGTGAAGCAAGGAGCACGTATATTTATATTATATAAGTAAGTCTGCCGATTGATTGGTGGAACTGGACTGGAAGTGTCCGAGGTCATAGATTCTCCCAAGAACATCCAAGAATGAGTCCTGAAAGCCTTTGTAAAGTACAGATTTGGTGTCTTCTTTACTCCTCTCAGCGTCCTTGGTCGATTCTGGCCGTTTGTGCTGTCAGCTCCGCCGGTTTGCAGGCCACAAGGAGTGCCAGTGACAAATCGTGGGGAGCGAGGCAAACCACCGCAGGCAACAGCCATTCGTTGTTAGATGCTCACAACAACGTTTGGAAGGAATGCCAGTCCGAGACCACTGGTGGTCTTACAAGCTCTCTTCGGCTTGTGAAACTCCAATTCTGTGGTGTGGACATGGAAACCTTTGCATCGAATGTACCATTTAGGCCTAGGCCGGGGCTGGTGAATGAGTGAAGGCACAGCCATCTTGGACCAACAGAGCACTCCGACCCCTAGCGATTTGTGCGGTTAAGACGGTTGGGTGAAGACGGGATGTCGCTTCGATCTAGGCACGAAAGTGTGGCAGCTGCTGGATCCCAAGTACACGCTGTGGCTCGGCCCGCAGCCGGGAGTGGGAAGTGGGAAGTGTCCGAGGTGGAAGCTGTTTTGGGTTCGAGCGGAGTTCAAAGCTGGCGCAGTTGTGCGGAGCCGTAGCTGCCTCCACGGGAGGTTCATGGTGGTTTGCTACGCAGTATGATTTGAGTCCACTAGGAACAAAGGGCATCGCTACGAACGGAGCAAGGATGCTACGATCAGGGCTCCTGGCATCGCTACGAACGGAGCATTCTTACTACGTTCGTAACAAGAAACAACTGACTTCGTGTGTTCCACCGTTTCGTGGTTACCGGGTCCATGTCGACTCACCTGGAAACCGCTGGGTAGGACGGCACTGGGACAGGGGGCACCAGGACAGGGGCAGCCAGCTGTGACCCGTGGCTGGGGCCACCTTCAGAGAGCGCCACGATGAGAAGGCACCTTGCGAACAAGAGATAAGCCCAAGGAAAATCCCCAGCTATGACCTGGACATTGTGTGTTCTTTAAGCTATGGCTGAAGACAACAGACATTGGCTTCGCTGTTCCCAAGAGCCTCAAGAAGCCCTCTTTCAAGGCTTCTTTCCACGCGATAAACGCTCAGCATCATTGAACGAATTGAAACAAAATTGTGTTTCAGAAAAACATATATATATGACACATACACATACATATATTACATATAGGCATATAGGAGTTTCATGATGACCTAACAAATTCCTTCATTCGTTCCTTACCCGTTGATCTTGTGTTCATCTTCGCAAATACGAATAAGACGTGCCCTCCACCACCGGTTGACTTCCACCTCTCCAAGGTTCGTGGCTCCGGAGTATTCCTGGGATCCCTATGCCACCGGCTTCGTGGCCAAGAGTCCCAGGTCGACCTTCGAGAAATTGCCCACCTTCCAAGTGACCTTGAATCCAGGACTGCCCACCTTCGACTGACGTGGATCGGACCACGGAGGACGGAGGACGGAGTAGTAACGGATGGAAAGAAGCGACCTTGGCCAAAGAAGGGAGGGTCCGGGTGAGGGGAGTGGGGGTCCGAGTGAAGGGAGCGTCCTGGTCACTGGTCATTGTGTTTTTGACCTTTGCTCTTGTTGGTCAGATTCACCTGGTGCATATTGCTGGTGGACCATGGTGGACCATCTTGTGAGATTGATTGTGGTGCAACGAGTTGAAGCGTTTTCCAGCACGTGATGTGGAATCAGCGCTAATGAGGCGCATGAGGCGGAAAGGATGTTGGTCGGCCGCCTCGGGTATGGGTCAGTGGACTCATCCTTTGTAGATCTCTTTGTGGTTCTGTTTGTACTTGGGAAGCTGAATTCGTCTATCGCGCCTGGCCTTGCGCAGTCACCAACACCGAGACCCGAACCAGACCAGTCGAGCGCCAAACCCGCCCCGACCACCACTCCTCCCGCGGATCGACGTCCGAGCGCGACCGGTCGACTTCGCCGCCGGCGCAAGAGTCGGACTCGTCGGTGGCCAGGCGATGTCCTGTTGAACCCCGTTTGGTCGTGGCACCGGGTCCGGAACGACGCGGATCGCGCGACTGGTTTGGTGGCCATGGGCTCCTGCCGCTTCTCGGTGTCTCGGCAGGATGAGGGAGGGTGGGAGGAGGCGTGGACATGGAGGGAGGGGCTCTGAAAGGCAATGAAAGGAATCTTTTTTTTTTTTTTTCGGAAGAGAAGACGTGTCATTTCATTCGACATGAGTCTAAGCAGATTTCGAGTTGGACTTGAGCTTGAAACATGGAGTCGTGCGGTGATGGCGACATAGAGGGCTGGCTCCTCGCCAGTTGGGTCGGCCCGGATGCTTTTGGGAACAAGCCAGCATGGGTGGCTGAACGACCAGCATGCTGAGACCAGTTTTTGCCTTTGTGATTGCCATCGCCCAGGGCGTCCAGGTTCATCCCTTGGAACTGAAGCAAAGGCTGAAGCAATCGCAATGCGAGAAATGGGTGAAGCCGCAAAGCTGTGTGAAGGCATCGACCACCTATTCTCCACTCCGACAACAGGGGCAGACTTGCGGTGCGCAAGCACTGATCCAATGGTGATCGAAAACCATCTCCCACCCACTGGATATCACAGAGAGCATACAAATCCCGAAAGCAAGCTATAGAATGGATAAAGACATTTTTAATGATCAAGACATATCAAGACCAAACAGCTTGGGAGTAAGCATGCTGACTCCTCTCTTCTTCTCCTGCCACTTCTCCGGTGTCAACTTCTGCCGCTCGACACCCACAGGAGTCGGTGAAGGCGCTCGGTGTCCCCGCGCTGGAGTTCCACCGGTCCTTTGGCCAGGCGCGGGACAGAGACCACGCGGGATCGAGGGACCAATCCGCCCGGACCAAGCCGGAGGAGCGGAACGGAACGAGGTGTGAGCTGGGACACCTTGGTGTCTGATGCCGTGACAGTCTGCAGACGGGCAGGTGATGTGGGTCAATCCCAAGCTTCCATCGTGGGTGCGCTGGGTGCCATTCTTCCGCGTGGTGCAAGATGGCCTGAGCTTAGCCTTTGATTGGACACTTGCCAAACATTAGCGCGCTGGGACATGAAGCTCACCAGTGAGATGGTTCTCAGGGGCATAACGCTGAGGTATAGTTTATACGTATATCGTTCGTATGTGTGTGTTCATGCATGCTTGACACTTGTGTCAAATGACTTGTTTGACTTAGACTTCAGGCCGTCCCAAATGACTTCAAACGTCCCTTTTTGAATCAACACTTGGGTCAAATTCATCAAGTCCCACCCTTGATCCACCAACTTCAGACTCGCGCTTAGTATAGGGAATGAGGGAATGAGATCCCAATAGAGATTCCTTTGGATCCAGCCACCCTCATTCCCCACGAGTCGCACCAGTCAGACTTTTCCTAATACCATCTAAAACCCGTTTCCATTCTCCTTGTCTTCCTCGTCCATCTCGGTCGTCCGTTCCGAGGCATCCGAGCTTTGGCACAGCGGGCGCCCCGGGCTTTACCGAGTTTCGGTCGTTCGCTTCACCGTCGGTTCGGGTTCGGTTCGCGTGGTTCGGTTCGGGGGGCGAGCTCCGAGTTCGGAGAAGAACTTCATTGACATGTTTTTTGAGGGTTTGCACCCAAGCGAACAGCTGAATTTAGCTTAGAAGATCAGCTCCTTTCAGTGTTCTACTGTCTCCATGCAGGGTCTCTGTCGATTGAACACCCTAGCCACCTGAGCCTTGCAACTGAAAGCCCTTGGTCGCGGTCTCCTGTTTTCGCACGCCTCAGGGGATCCCCAGGGGATGCTCAGGGGACTTGCATTGCAGGTTATGAAAAGGATTGCTTCAGCTCCAAACGAAAGGCTTGCGATGAGCACTATGCTGCTTATGGCTGGCGTATCGAGTCTTCTTCCTACAAAAGGTGACCTCTGCATCTTGCTTCGCGCGGCGACGTATCTCACGATCCCTGCACAAGCCAAGCTTCCCATTTGAAGGTTGGCAGGAGACGTGTTTTTGCTCGGCTGGGTTGACAGGCTGATATTGAGGATTTCAGGCCTCAAAGGTCATGTTTTCGGCCTGAGTTGGGCGAAAGTCTGATGGGTCCATTAATCCAAGAAGTTTCGCGATTTGCGAGTCCTGACACGAAATCGACCACCAATCTACGATTCAACCTGGCCGGTGTCTCTCGTTAGTGTACGCGAGGTGGAGCCTGAACAGTTGCTTTTCCATTGCAGCTCAAGTTGCGTAGTTCAGCAGCCTTCGTTGAAAAACTTCGAAGAGTGTGGACACGGCCAGAAACCAAAGGACCAGGACATTTTGAAGGAACCATGAAGAACAGGTCTGATTGGGAAACATGTTTGTTCTTGAATACTGATCAGAAACACATAGAAACACTGTCCAAATGTGGGGTCCAGAAGTTTCTGGTCGTTTTTCAGCTACACTACAGACGTTTGCGGCCTTTCAACTCACGATCCTTGTTCAGGGGGTCAAAAGCCTACACCTCCCCTCCGACCCCCTTCCTACCGACCTCTGCTTGACGGGTCTGCTGCGCAGACTACGAAAAGCGTCGCAGACCGGGTCAGCGAGAGCAACTGCTGGGGCGGTTGGTAACTGCTACGACCTGCGACTTATCGCGTCTGAAAAAGAGGTCGAACTGGCTTGCTGTGAAGTCACTAACATGTGGAAGGTTCAGCTTGGGATTTGGCCAGCTGGGTGATTTCACTGCGTCTTCTCAGAAATCTGCATAGTGGAAGAGCTATGCCAACTGGTGCCATGTGTTCCGGCAGGCTTCAGTCGTTCTCACATGTTCTGCCGTTGGTCTTTTGCATCTTTCGACTCGGTCGGTGTCCTTCCAATCCACAGTGGTTTGGGGAGAGTTCCTCGACTCGGGACCGGTAAAAGTTCTTCTCACCGAAAACGGCAGCTTTCACTGGTGTGGCTGTCAGGTCGTTTTGGGTGTGGTCTTTCGGTAAAGCATCAACGAAGATCGTTGGACCTCTCTGCATATTTCGTTGTTTCATTATGTCCCAAACTTGGAGCATTTCGGTCGTTCCAGTCTTGTTTGCGGCTACGCCGCGATGAGTTCCTTGAGGGGGAGAGCTCCTCGAGGCCTTGCCTCCACCTAGGCCGCATTCGGCTTGGCGAGGTGAGCTGGAAAGGTCAAATCAGAACACCAGAGGAAGAATCACTGCGTCAGAGGGCAAAAGCCCTGTGTGGTCAAGTATATAGTTTGACATACCTGTGAGTTTGGCTCAGAAGCAACGTGCGCCGGTTTTATGTTTCGTTGAGATTATTGAAAATCATTGAACATTGAAATCAACCTGTCTACACAAAACGGACAAGAAGAAGCACTGCTTGGACAAGTTTGATACCTTTTTAGAACTCTTCTCATATTAAGATCACCGGGATCTTCTGCGGTTTGTGGCCATGGAGACAAAGGCTTGTCGCCACTTCTTAGAAGGGCGCTGCCGACATGGAGATGATTGCCACTGGGATGGCGGGAGATTTGAGACGCCCTGTGGGCCGTATCTGCCCTGTGGGCCGTATCCGCCTGCCGCAGGCACTGGCCTGTCTTCATCCCTGAAAGACCCATCCTCATGGGGAGAGAGATGCCAAGCAATGGATTGCATCGATTGTGCCAGGTTGCAGGAACATGGCTTTTCACATGGCTTTTCAATCAGGTCAAAGAAAATAGCAGGTCTGAAAAAGCTCTGAGAACTGTCCAATCACAGGGTCGACTTCGAGGGTGATGGTTTCCATGGCCTCAAATGTGTTTTTTGTGGAAGGAACCGACCCTTAAGGTGCCAGGGACGTGATTTAACCCTCCTCGAGAATTGGGGAGCCTTGGATATGAGAGGCTCTTCAGCTGAGAGGTGGTCGGGTGCATGGCAGGTACAGGTTTTTTTGTCCATGAACCCCAGAGCTACCATCGACTCTTTGAGTGACTGTGGGTCGAAGCATCTGACTGACCCACTTCAACCGACCTCTCCACTCCAAGGCCGCTACTCCCACGCTGAAAAGCCGCCGCCCGCGCCGCCCGCGCCGCCCGCGCCGACTGCGCCCGCCTTCCCCAAGCCCGACTGGGGTGATCCGGAATCAGCCGCCGCCGCCTTCGCACTGCAGGCGGGCCAGGACGGGACAGGTGTGTGATAATAGTGATAATATAAAAACATATTATACACATATAGTACGCACATCTATTATAGAAGAAATGTTTGAACATATGTTTTGATATCTTCTAAATAGTTTCCCGTACTATATATATAGTTATATTATGTATTATGAGGCTTGGGAGGGACGGACAACGGGAAAAGGACGCCCTCCGAACCCTAAAAACGCTGCTGAGCACGGGGTTTGCCCTCTTCCCCAGCTTTGTGCCAAGAGAACTCTGGGAGTTCCTGGGGTGAAACTATCGGAGAGACCTTCCTCTTGGTGTGTCTTTCGTTTTCTGGAGCTATGAAGAAGCTTTGAGAAGTTTAACCAGAGTTGACATTCAATATATAGCTAGTCTTGAGAATTTGAAAGGTTTGATGCGAAAGCAATGAACTCCTAGCAGATAGCCTCTATGAGCTTCTCAACCTTGGTTGTGACGTGAGTTGTGACGGCCCAGGAGATGAACGACAGCAAGAAGAGGATAGAAAAGGACGAGTGGAATGATTATTGGGCCACTCGGTCTTCTGTGAGGGAGACCAAAGGTTCTGATATAGCAACTAGGTGCCAGCTGTGGCGCAGCGGCGCAGCCAAGGCAGACCAAGGCCGTTTTGTACCACCCAATTCTCCGATTCACTCGTTTTCTCGAACTCAATTTTTAAGAGTGGGTCTCGACTGGTGTTTTTAGCCTCCAAGCCTTTGGCCCGAGGCCTTGGGAGACAACTTTCTGCTTTCACCAGATGGCTGCTGGCTTGGATTTGGAGTGTCTTTTTTACAAGTTTTGTACATGCCGGAGTTCTCCCAGACCACCTGACCACCCTTCCTTGCGGTTTGGGGGAGTGTTTGATCGTCCCGGATGGTCCGCCAGTGCGCTGGGCCAGTACGGCGGGTCTCCGGAACATTTCAGGGACCCAAATGGTGCGTGTAAAGAACACCCTTTTTCACCAAAGACCAATGCTGTGAGAGACTGCTCCGCAATAGTTTTGACTTAAGAGAGAGATTCTTAAGATCAAAGGTCCGCACAACGGAAAACCGCAAAGACAAACATTTCTAAAAAGCAGAACTCAACTTGACGTTGACATCTCAGAAACGACCCGACATTCAACAAAACAATGTTTGCTAAGTGGGTTGTAAGAAAGATGCATAAACGACCCAACCATAACAGATACCAGAATCGATAACTGCCCAAATCATGGGCCAAACCATCCGAACCTTCTATCTCCTATCCCGGACCAGGATAAAGATCAGCGCTTGGGAAGACGGTTTGAGTGACAGGTCGACCCCTCAAAGGCCCTGGTTTGAGGCCCTGGTGGCCTGGTACAACCGAGTTCGGAACTGAGGCAATTTTGTTGTTACCTGGGGACATGTTGAAGAAGGCCGGTTTGTGAGTGGAGAAACTGTTGCAAGAGTCATAGGATGATGTTGACCAGGACGTGGGATGCACATCCAGCTCTGATGTATGTCACCGCGTTAAGTGTCTCCAGCTGGCTAGGAATGTCGACTTGTATTTCTTGTGTCTAGGAATTCATGATACAGCCTTCCAGAGCTCCTGGCTCAAATGCCAAAGACCATGAATTGGTCAAAGTTTTTTCTAAACTACCTGAAACATCCTTAAGAAAAAGGTTCAAATGGTGCGTCGTTCGACTTCTGGTGAGGTTTTTTGATTCAGATATTCAAGTTCGGCCCTTTTTGCCACTCTTGTGTCAGCAAGTTCCGCAAAAATCTTTGTGAGCTGTTCCTGGAAGCCCTATGCGGAATTTAGACCTGTTTCAGACTCTTTCTGTATGTGAATGCACTGATTTCTTGTTATCACATTACACGTCAGATGGCTAGAGCCACAAGCATGCGCAACACCAGAATGGAACAAATTGAGGAACATGCTTTTTCTTCCCTTCAAACACCCCTCCTCGTCCTCGTCCTCTGTGGACAGGCCGCTTGTCCGACTCGCCTGTCCACAAAATCATCCAGGTAGGTCCTGAGCATGGGAAGGGGAAAGCCATGATGTAGCAAACATCTCTTAGAACTTTCTATTTTTTTAATCGATTTTACGTACGCTCAATCGGTCTTTTCAGTATACATATACATATATACATACATATATATATATATATATACATACTAGTATGTATTGTAATGGTATTGCCATGATTTTCAGGGCTTTGCTCTCAAATACGTGTTTGTTGGGATATCTGGGACATCCCATCGAGGCCCGCTTATTGAGCAAGCATGGTTGAACCACGTCGAACAAGGGAGTCCTCACGGACGCGAGGACAGACCGTCCGAGACCGGTCGAAAACATGAACATGTCGCAGATACCATGAGCGGGCATAGTACACGGAGTGTTTTCATGGACATACACGGTTGTGAGGGATTTGTTTGCCGCTTTGGCTGCAGGGCTTTGTGAGAAAAAGGCCTCTGACTACGCGATCCCAAAGACGGTTTCTGATGTGTCAGTCCTGTTGAACCATGTTGAATAAGAAGCACAAGATTGCACTTTGGGTCACTCAGAGTATCATCAGGCGGCGTTTCTGGGGTGTTGGTTGCCAAGAGGAGTCTACAAGGTTCAACGGCTCAAATAAGGAGCAAAGCACAGATGGAGACTACATCATGTTGATGAAGAACAAGCATGTATTCTACCTAGTCCTCTCCACACCTTCTCTTGGCCCCCCTTCCATACCCCTTTTCTGCACCAGGCCCGCTTTGTGCACCAGCTGGCACCTCCCGTGGCTTGGGCAAGAGGGATTAAGCCGGCCAAGAAGAGAATGGACAAGCAACCTGGAAAGAGCAGGTGAACAGGTGCACGGGGATCTTTTGGAAGGATGGAATTTTTTCTCCCTGCCAACTCCTGCTGGTGTGTCTAGCTAGCTAGCAGCTATGGACTTTTTCGGCGACGCACAGGACGGACAGTGACGGATGGATGTGAGGTCGTGAAGATCATCAAGAGCCTCCACTTCATTCAGTCCAGTACCGACAGCTGCAGTTCAGCCAGCCTCGACAGATGCAGTTCACTCTCCTCGAAATCGCCGCGCCCTTCTCCGGTCGTGTCCTCTCGTTTTCTACGACACGGGTCGCGCTTCACCACAGTCTGGGCTCAGGCGACACCCGCTGCCGTGACAAAGGCCACCGCGGAGCTTCGGAGATCCGCTGGGATCCCGCGCAGCCAGCCACGCTCCGCTGGCCGCTCGCGACGCGAAGTCGCGCGGGCAGTCGAACCGGAACGGACCAGGGTGGGGAGTTTTGCGGGATTTTTGGTGCCCCAGTCTTGAAACGTAGCCAGGTAGCCATTCGCCTGGGTTTACAGATTGGACCAACATTGGAGCTTGCAAAAGGGCTTGGACCATTAGTTGTAAACAGATCAAGATCCGGAGCCCTTTTGGAGGATCCAATGCCGGTCCCACGGGGCCGAAGCTCTTGGGCGTTTTCGCGGTTTCGCGGGCCGCGCAGAGCGCGGGCAGTGTGTTGGCTTCTTTCCTCACCAAAAGAGAAAGAATCACCTCTGGGATGGTGGGAAAACAGATCTGGCTACTCCCCATTCCCAGAGGTTCAGCTCTCAATTCAGAGCAAGCAAGGACTGATGTGGGTTTGTATGTTTCAGCCTGTGTCCATGCAATTGATGTAAGTCGCTGGGATGCTCGACTTAAAGCCGAAGCATACTCCGAAGCATACCCTCTGAAAACGCTAGGTACTTCTTTAGTCTTCACACTGCACGATCTCTTCACCTCAGGCCGAAGGGGTCTACCCCATCAAATCTCCGGGCCCAACGTCAAAGTAAGCCAAAACACGCACACACACACACACATACGCACACACACATACCGGGCCTGCGAAAAAAGATATCAACATCAACAACTTCACTGACGGATGCCAACCTCAGGACTGATTCCTCCTACCAGACCTGGGAAGATGAAAAGCACCAGATTCAACGCCGCCAAGTCTCCACCGACTGTGCACTGGATCCCCGGATCTGGAGGATCGGGGGGGCCAACGTCGCATCCGCCGGATGGGAACTTTTCAATTGCCCCACGAGCTCTGTGACTCCTGGCATACAGATCATATGAATCTGTGTACTTATATAAGTGCATAGACCATGGAACTCTTGACACCTCTTTTGCACTTCGCTCCAATCCGGGACCAGGACGACCAAAACGGGACAATGAAGGGGTCGGGTGAAATCTTCCATTTTGTTCGTGTTTTTGACTGACACCTCGAGAAACACACTCGTAACACGTAGGTTTTCACCACATGCGTCTTTGTCCCAAGAATTTGGGCAATTCTTTGGATGGAAGAATGAACAATTGGAGATGGGAGGCGGGTGCTTTTGCCGAGGATTTCGTGGTTGGGACGCATCATTCATTAATCAATCCAGATCCTGAAAATCTCGATCCCTATGCGAACCTATTGAAAGATTCTTAAACATCAAAGAAGAAACATGTATAATATATATATATAACTATATAATTGTTTTCTCCATATTGCATTATATTTTTTGAAAACATCTATTTGTATAAACTATATTTTGGTATATATATATTATAAAATTATCTTTATTATTATTGTTATTATTACTATTGTTATTATTACTATTACTACTTATAATATTACGATTAGGCCTACTAACAGGCGCGCGCACGTAATTCGGCCAAGCTAAAAATCGTAATTCGGCCAAGCTAAAAATCCCAAATATTTGCCAAGATTTTGAGCTTTTAATTACAGATATTTTTCTTTTTGGCGGCTTCATATTTGGTGCTCGGTTTTAGCGTTAACGGAAAGGATCCGAAATAATTTGATTATTTTGGAAGTTTAAAATTTTTGACTTCCACAGTTGGTTATTTTGGGAATTATTTTTTCTCGGCGCCCATATCGAATTAATGGGATCACTTTGGAATTTTCGTTTTGCTCTCCCCACTGCTGTACCACTAGGCAAAAGCATAACGCTTGTTCGTTTCCTTCTAGGTCGATGGAACCATGAGTATGTAGCTGGTGATTTTGAGGTATGGCACAACAGGTGAAGAGACTTATACGCAGGTGAATCCACAACAGATTGTCCACTCAGCTATTCGTATCTGATGTCCAATCCACAATTAACATTTCAATTTTTTAAGCCGATAAGACCCAATTCACCCGATTATCGTTTTTAAGCCGATAAGACCCAATTCACCCGATTATTGTTTTAAAAACCAGGTTGGCTATCCAATTTTGAGCTTGGGTGATGCCAGTAGCCGTTTCACCTCAGGTCAGATTCCAATATTGCTCATATTTTGAGTTTACTCACGTGATCTCACATGTTTGCCTAAGTGTTCCTGTAGTTGTAGCCTTCTTGGGATGTCATGCACTAACTTGCGCTGAGTTGTCTTTGTCCAAGAGACCAAGTTTTTCCGTCCACTGCCCACCACCTGGCGACCTGGCTGGGGCCGATCACTATGTGCAGAGAGCTCATCAGGAGGGGGAAGGCCGGGAGCGATTGTATTCTTGCCTGCTGGAAGAATTCTGGTAAGAACGGATGTGAAGCAGTCCATATGGCCTCGACACCTTGTTGCTTGGGCTAAAGCCCCGAAAAGTGCATGTTATTCGGGATTCGAGATCCGAGATCCGAGCCTCGTTAGTCGAGATCCGAGTTCTTAGATTCGAGATGCGAGATTCGAGATCCGAGATCCGAGGTTCGAGATCCGAGGTCCGAGATTCGAGGTGCGAGTTCCGAGATACGAGACCCATTCGAAATGCGAGATCCGAGATCTGAGATTCGAGATGCGAGATCCGCGAGGTTTGAGATGCGAGATCCGAGATTCGCGATCCGAGATCCGCGAGATTCGAGATTCGGGATTTGAGGTCCGAGATCTGAGATTCGAGATCCGAGATCCGAGGTTCGAGATCCGAATTCCGAGATGTGAGGTGCGAATTCCGAGATTCGAGGCCCGAATTGAGAATCGAGATCCGAGGTCCGAAACGCGAAAGCCGAGATTTGAGGGGCGAAATTTTCTGGCTTCGAGATCCGGGATTCGAGAGATTCGAAATCTAAGATCCGAGATTCGAAAGCCGAGCTTCAACACGCGAGTTCCGAGATCCGAAATTCGAAATGCGGAATTGGAGTGCCGAGGTCCGAGCCTCGGGAGTCGAGATTTGAACATTAAGATTTGAGATTCGAGGTTCGTATCAAGATTCGTTTGCGCGTAAGCCTCGTCGATTTGAATATTCTTACTAATTTCTTATGATCTTCTTATCCGTTCTTTAGGTAGGAATATTTAAGGCTAAATTTTTATGCGATATTTATATATAAAGATCTATTTCATTATTAATTTTGTCGATTTAAATTTAACTTATTAACTTAATGAATTAAATAATTGCTTAAAATTATTATTTTTAAATATATAATTATATAAACTATTATTATATTTATATTATTTATTTTAATTCTTTTTTGTTTTTATCCTTAAATAATGTTATTCTTTTTGAATTATCCTTTTTTTTTTTTACCCTCGATTGTTTTTTATTTTCCCTTGAAGATTCTTTTTTTCTTACCCTTTGAATTTTTTTCTACCTTCTTAAAACCTTTTATTTTCACTCTGCACCTTGTCATTTTTTTCCACCCTTCACCTTTTCTTTTTTACCCTCGTCGGTGAAATAGGTATTTTATGGAACCTGCACAGAGAGTGATGTCACCTCCGCTTTGTTTCATATTGTTTATCCCTGGACCTGCCAAATCCTTTATTTTCCCCCCCTAATAGCTTCTTGTTGCTAGCCTTTCGGAACCCTCCGGAAACAGCACAGGATGCGCCCTCCCTATTTACACAGCATCCGTCTATCCATGCATCCATCAACGGAGTACCAATTAACCGACCGACCAACCAACCAAGCGACAACGCGGCCAAGCCAACAAACCCACCAAGCAACCAACAAACCAGGCAACCAAAACCACCCATTTCGTAGCGCTGCGCCCTCCCATCCATCCATCCATCCATCCATCTATCCATCTATCCATCCATCCATCCATCCATCCATCCATTAACCAAACACACAAATAGAAAAATTGCATATCCATCAAGCACTGTATCACGCAAGCAATCACGGCAAGCAAGCCAACACACCAAAAAGTAGTATTCTGCCCGCTGTCCATGATACATCTATCACTATATGTCTTTTCTCGAAGCCCAAGCAACCGACAAATCAAGCAGGCTGAACTAACCAACACAAAAACCAAAAGAAGGAGAATTAAAAGAAAGGATGGATAGCCCACCAGCAGCAAACAAACCAAGCAAACAAACGTTCCCCCCCAAATGCTGTCGATACTTGCTTTGCATTGGTAGCCCACCAAGCAACCAACAAACCAAGCAACCAAAACGACACAACCCTGTATGATCCCACATGCTGTTGATGTTTGGTTCGCATTGCGGGGGAGGCGCTGCGCCCTCCCCCGCACCCCGTCCCCCGCACCCCCTCCCGCCTTTATTTACACTCCATCCATTTATGCATCCATCCCTGCCCGCCATTATCTACAGATCATCCATCCATCCACCCATCAAACAAGCAAGCAACCAACAAACCAAACAACCCAAACCACGCAACCCTGTTTTCCCCAAATGCTGTCGGTACTTGATTTGCATTACATCTTTATTTACACCATCCATCCATCCATCCATCCAGCCAGCCAGCCAGCCAGCCAGCCAGCCAGCCCGCCGGCCAGCCCGCCCGCCGGCCAGCCAGCCGGCCAGCCAGCCGGCCAGCCAGCCGGCCAGCCAGCAACCAAGCGCACAAACAGAAAAATTGCATATCCATCAAGCACTATATCACCCGAGCAATCACAGCAAGCAAACCAAGCAACCAACACACCAAAAAGTTAAATTTTTGTCCCTGTCCATGATCCATCCATCATTATATGTGTCTTCTCCAAATACAAGCAACCAAGAAGCCAAGCAGGCTGAACCAACCGACGCACCAACCAAAGGAAGGATTGTTAAAAAGAAAGGGTGGGTAGCCCACCAGCAACAAACAAACCAAACGACCAAATATTTCCCCCAAATGCTGTCGATACTTGCTTTGCATTGGTAGCCCACCAAGCAATTAACAAACCAGCAACCAAAACCACACAACCCTGTGTTTTCCCAAATGCTGCCGATACTTGGTTCAGCGCCTCCCCCGCGCCCCCTCCCGCCTCCCGCCTTTATTTATACAGCATCGACGCATCCATCCATCCATCCATCCATCCATCCATCCACTGTATCGCGCAAGCAATCAACAGCAAGCAAACCAAGCAACCAACACATAAAAAAATTCTATTTTTCTCCTTGTCCATGATCCATCCATCACTGTATGTATTTTCCCAAACTCCAAGCAACCAACAAGCCAAGCAGGCCGAACCAACCAACACACCAACCAAAGGAAGTGTGATAAAAAAGAGGCAGCCAAGAGCGAAAACATGAAGGGAGACAAGCTGTACAGACAAGGCGGCAGCGGCAACCAAAAACGACATCATGAAGGGAGACAAGCTTGGCAGACAAGGCGGCAGCGGCAGCCAAAAGCGAAATCATGAGGGGAGACAAGCTTGGGAGACAAGGCGGCAGCGGCAGTCAAAAACAAGAAATCATGAAGGGAGACAAGCTTGGGAAACAAGCTGGCAGCGGCAGCCAAGAGCGAAATCACGAAGGGAGACAAGCTTGGAAGACAAGGCGGCAGAGGCAGCCAAGAGCGAAATCATGAAGGGAGACAAGCTTCACAGACAAGGCGGCAGCGGCAACCAAAAGCGACATCATGAAGGAAGACAAATTGCACAGACAAGGCGGCAGCGGCAGCCAAGAGCGAAATTACGAAGGGAGACAAGCTTGGAAGACAAGGCAACAGCGGCAGCCAAAAGCGAAATCATGAAGGGAGACAAGCTTGGGAAACAAGGCGGCAGCGGCAGCGGCAACCAATTTCCGCAATCAGGAACCCATCCATTGAGAAGTAAGAATCCCTATAGCTTCGCTATCTGGGGAACAAAACATCTCTGGCAATTCAATCAAGGTGCGTGTTAACAATTCCTATGTATGCCACTAATGATTGCAATATCGTCTGATCTTGTCGATCACAACTGAGTGCCAAAGGAGCAGATTCACTTCCGGTATCCTCAATTATGTCATCTAATCTGGCCTCCCAGCTGGCACCGTTTGCGTGGCCTATCTTAGTCGTCCAATAAATTCCCGGCGTCACATTGATCCCCAAATGTATGGCGCCAAAACCAAGGAGCCGTCTGTGACTGACTGCAACTC